TGTAGGCATGCACACACACAAACACACCTAGCCCTGCAGTAACGCCACCGAGGTAGAAAAGTGTCCTTGTTAAGGGGACGATGTGGCGGACTTCCTTAGACACTTCACAGACCATTAGAGACTAAAGAGGACTTCCGAAAGACAGATGCCATTTTTATCCAAGTCTCTGATAACCCTGACGGATCTACAGTGGTTCTTGGGCTTCAGTGAGCATTGCCATTACTTCACCAGTAGCCTTTCCTCTCAACTCATCCTTCCCTACTGACTTGTTAATGACCCTGAGTTGCAGAATGACTAATATTTTGAGAAATACATTATTATACCTCTGTGTGTATTCTCCATTTGTGCAGATTGGACCCCTCCTCACCTCATCCTTCCTAGTTCTTGTTCATGCCTCTCCTGGAAACCATAATAAAGAAGTTACCCGATGCCCTAAAGGACTTCCTCTCTGTCTTTTAGCATTTCACGGGTAGAAGTGATTGTCCATCTATCTCTTCTCATTCTTTATGCAAAACTGGTTCATCTGCTTTCCTAGTCATCTAGCTCTCTGATTATATTTACACTTCTCTGTAAATCATTGCTAGTGATGTGCTAAAAGCTATTAACATCCCTCTGCCCCCCCCCACCCCCCAGCCTCAACCATGTCTCTTTCTAGTACCCCTTAGGCCCCTTCAACTTTGATTCTTTTGATCCTGCAGCACCCATAGCCAACGCACAACATCAGCCTTGTGTTTTTAAAAATGGGATTTTGTGGCAGCAATGGGCTTGGGATCTCTGAAAGTGCTGCTCACTATCCCAATGGAAATTTAGCCTAATTTCTTCCTTAGGCAAGGAAGACACTTTCCATAAACTGAATAGAAGTTCCCTTTGCTCATATGCTGGCACACTGCCACCCTCACCAACCAGTTCTTTGTGGCAAAAGCAGATGCATCTAACTTGACAAATGGAGCCATCTTTCCTCAGGATGACCCTGGAATCTGCTCTGTTCTCAGTGCCTATTATTCCCAGAAAGGCTCATCAGCGGAATAGAACTATGTGATCTGGGTGAGTGGAGTTGCCATCTGGGTGCCCTCTGAGGTTGGGTGTCATCCCCTGGAAGGCACACAGCACCTGATCATTGTGCCACTGAAACTTAGGAATTTCAAACACCCACAATTAATCTAAAAATGAACCAATGGCAGACTTAGGGGTGGGGTGGGTGCTGTTTTTTTCTGCCCAGTTAATTTCAATTACCCTGTGACCTCAGATGGCAGAATAAACATATTGATGCTCCATCCTGGAAACCAAAGATTGAAAGGGGCAGAAGAATCAGCCTCCAAAAGCTCTCCTGTGGAGTGAGGACATTATGATGACCAAGCCACGGCTGGGCAATATCAACCTTATTGGACAAAAGGAAAAATAGAGCATACAGACCTAGACACAACTCTGCTCACAAAGGCAGACCCCGGAAGGAAGGGGGCCTATCTCTGAGGGACCCTGCATGTTCTTCTATGTGGGTGTCCCTGCTACAGTCTTACTACACAACGGAACTTTTCTGCCATGGAAAAAATGGATTTTTCTGCCACGAGACACAGAGGGGGTTTTAAAGCTATCTAATTAATCAACTATGACTTTTCACAGGTGATGCTGGCTTTCACCAGGAAGTCTGACGTGTATGTGCAAGTGTCTAAGACACGTGATGAAGACGGGGACACATGAGGGACACACCCTTCATCCACACTGTCTCTTGATTTCATAAGAAAATTCCTGTTATTCCAGGGCCAGGATCTCATCCTAGTCATAGTTCTATATTGACCAAAGCAGTTCATTATTTTGTTCCCTCTGCTAGAACCCCACCCACCGACCACCAGAGGTGGCATGCCTATTCCTCTGACAAATTTTTTTAGCTACCCCAGATGTCTTCTCATTTCTTTTCTGATTACGTATCCCAATTCACCTCATATTATTTGCTGTTCTTCAGGTCAAGATCCACCTTCAAACAACTTAATATTTGGGGCAGCTAGGTGGTGCAGTGGATAGAGCTCTGGCCTTGGAGTCAGGAAGCCCTGAGTTCAAATCTGGCCTCAGACACATAACACTTACTAGCTGTGTGACTCTAGGCAAGTCACTTAACCCTGACTGCCTCACCAAAAAAAAAAAAAAACCCAAAACAAAACAAAACAAAAAAACACAACAACTTAATATTCCCAGTCTTGTTGAAAGCATAACACATATATTTTCCCAAAACACCTCTGCTGTTATTTCTCATTCCACCAAAATAAGTGGCAATCCCTACCCCCTACTGCAAAATTCTCCATAATAAATCCATCCATTTATTCAACTGAAACATCCCTTTCCAAGTAAACCATAGTTTTTATCCAAAGTTCTTTCCAGTTCCCACATTTCATACTCCCATGTCTATGTTAATAATAATGACTAACATTTATATAGAACGTGGTATGTGCCAGACACTGTGTACCTTACAAGTATTATCTCATTTGATCATCACAACAACCCCGAAAGGTAGGTGCTATTATTATCCTTATTTTGCAGATAAGGAAACTGAGGCAACCAGGGTTAAGTGACTTGCCCAGGGTCACACATCTAGTAAGTATCTAAGGCCAGATTTGAACTCAGGTCTTTCTGACTCCAGGATCGGCACTCTATCCATTATGCCACTTAGCTGCCTCAGTGTTAGGCCTTAGTAAAATGTAAACTACCTAGATTCCTGTAAGTGATCATGGAGACATAAAGCAGGGAATTAATTATCATTGGTCTCCTGAAGGGTCTGAAATGGGTTGGCTGTCCATGCTCTCCTAAGCTCTCCTGGAAAGTAGAGGACCACAGCATTGGGCCCTGTACAATCACTCAGGCTATGAGCCATAAAATAGAGAACTGTAGATATTTAACTTGAAGAGACGACTTAGGCAGGGAAAAGGATAGCTGTCTTCAAGTCGTTGAGGGGCTGTCATTTAAAAAAACGGATTAGAACAGGAATCAGTTCTGCATTGCCTCAGACGCCACACCTAGGAACAACGAAGCAGAACTTGTAGGGTTTAAACCTGACACATAAGAAAACATTCCCCAAATGTTAACAGCTGTGAAAAGTAAAATGGTCTGCCTTTGGAAGATTGGGGGTGCCTCGGTTTTCAAGCAGCAACTGAATGACCATTAGGCATTGATGTAGTAGAGGGGATATTTGGTTGGGCTGGTATGTGTTGGATAAGAGGACTTCTGAGGTCCTTCCATTTCTGAGATCCTATGATTCTGTGAGCCTTGGGGGACTATAAGATGGCACTTTCCCCTGCCCTTATTTCTACAGAAGGGGAAGCTAGATGGTACAGCAGATGGAGCACGGGGCTGGAAATCGGGAAGACTCATCTTCATGAGTTCAAAGCTGGCCTCAAACACACACTAGCTATGTGACCTTGGGCAAGTCACTTAACCCTGTTTGCCTCAGTTTCTCATCTGTAAAATGAGCTGGAGAAGGAAATGGCAAACCCCTCCAGGATCCTTGCCAAGAAAACCCAAATGGGGTCACAAGGAGTTGGACACAATTGAAACAATTAAATAACAACATTTCTACAGGAGTCACTGGCATTTTATCAGCTGCTTCTAGACAAAGTACCTTTAGACCCTGACCTTCATACTCTAGCTCGCCAACTTAATCTTTTTAGCTGGTCAGTAGCTCATCATAAAAGAGGTATTGGAGCTGGAGCAGCAATAGGGCTGATTCTAATCTCTTTCTGACTTGGAGAGACATGGGCCAAACAATCATATCTTTGGTGTTGTCCCCCAGGTCAAGAGATTCCATCCACAAGACAAGCGAGTCTCAATCTAAAAGACCAAGGAGGCCTCTTACGAGGAGGAGTGCCTTCAACGACTTTATCATAGCACATATACATGGAGGGGAAAAAGGAGGAAGGGAGAGGAAATCGCCCGCACATCAAGCTCTCTAGCTCTGCTCCACTGAATTTTCTTCTAAATGATCTGATGAAAACTCTAAAAGTAATTCAGATTTAGATGAAGATGTGACTGAAAAAATTTGAACTTTGTGCATGTGCAGCCATGGTTCTCCATATAGAAATATCTCCTCTTATCTCAGAACGAAGTACTTTGTACCTTATTTTATTGTACTTTCATACTTTGTCTTTGATGGGCCTTATCTTCCCTACTAGACTGTAGGCCCCTTGAAGGTAGAAATTGTAAGCCCCAGGAGGACAGGGACTGTGTTTTACTTTGCACCCCCAAGTTCCCATGTGCCACCCCCCCAACCCCCAATAAGGTCTTGTTCATTGCACAAGCACAACAGATTACTTCCTATCACCTTCTGATCTCTCCCCTCCTCTGAATTCACAGCACTTCCTGGCTGTACCCACTCAGTTCGCGTATTACTCCTTTCAATGTACTTTATGCTTCAGTCAAACTAGATCACCCTGTGTCTCAGGAACCTCCATATGCTCGTTGTTCTGGCTACTTCCTATCCTCTCCTTCTCCGGTTCATCTCTTGAATTTCTCTCTATTTTTTAAAGTCAAACTCAAATACCACCTTGGACATGACGTCTAAGGTTACTAATAATCTTCCTTTTCAGATCTTATGTAGCACTTTGTTCTACTACTCTCTAATGTTCTTATCCTGTAATTTGTGTGAGGTATTTGTATTTATCTCTTATCTCCCCCAATAAATTGTAAAGTCTATGACAGCAAGGGATCATAGTTTCCTCCAAAAACTGTGTCTTCTCAATGCAGTATACTATATACAGTATGGGTTTAATAAATGTTTGTTGAAAGAATGAATGATGAATTGATATTTCTTAAATTCAATAAACTGAGTACTTTATAATTGGTTCAATATTGGCTTGGAGAATACACATTCAGGCAAGTTTTTTTTTTTAATACCTTCAAGATGTTTGTGAAGAAATGCAATGTGCAAGGTGTATTTTAATTGGCTGCCAGTTCCATTCCCCATCTCTGCTCCCCACAGCTGAAAGGAAGACAAAAAGAAGACAGGATGTACGTACTTGGACTTATTGAGGCTTGCTTCAGCTGCAGCTGCCTGGAGCAGCTGAGTCGACTGGCTGGCAGGAACTCCAAAAACGGCGCTGTGGGTTACATCACTGAGGATCCTCCGGTGCCCGGCCCGCTGGGCTTTGGGGGATGATGGAGGGGTGAGAGAGCCAAGCTTCTGACCCTGGATGGCAGCGGGTGGGGTGGTCTGAGCCTTTGCTTGTTGTCTTATGGGTGCTTGCTTCTGCTAGGAAAAGTGAAGATGAAGAAGAAAAGGAAGGAAGGAAGGAAAAGGAGAAAGAAAACTGTCTAAAAACTGACACAAGCACCTGAAAGGTCAACTTAAGGCAATAAGTCTCCCCTCCCCCCTTTCCACCCCAAATTGGATAAATGGGCTCTGAGAATATTAAGTGTGGTGCTGAGACTGACAGTTGATGGCATATGAATGTGACCCTTCTCAGGAAACCTTGACAAGGTAAACATGAACAATCATCTAGTCAGACTAGTAGCATTTATTAAACACCTACTATGTGCCAGGCGAGGCAGCAGCTAGGTGACTCAGTAGATAGAGCACTGAGCCAGGAGTCAAGAAGACTTGAGTTCAAACCTGGCCTCAGACTGTTACCAGCTGTGTGAACTTGGACAAGTCATTTAACCCTGTTTGCCTCAGTTTCTCATCTGTAAAATGAGCTGGAGAAGGACCATGCCTGTATCCTTGCCAAGAAAACCCAAGATGAGGTCTTGAAAAGTTGGACATGACTGAAGAGCAACAGAATGTGGCTAAAATATAGAAATTCTGGTTAAGTATGGCATAAAAATTTTGAGCCACAGACATGCAAATAACCCCACAAGTAGGGTTTGTTTTTCTCTTTGTAGCCCTATCACCTTGCATAGAATACATGTGTAATAAATGTTTGTGGAGTTGCTTAGTTTAATTTAGAGCTGGGAGGGCCCTTGGAGACCATTCAGCTCAACCCCATTTTAGAGATGGGGGAAACTGAGACCCAGAAAGGTTAAGTAAAATTTGGTTTCATTCCAATAGCATTAATTAAATACATACTATGAAATAGTTAATCAACAAGTATTTATTAAGGGCTAACTATGGGCCAGGCACTGCTTGTAGGATATAAGTACAAAGAATGAAATGATCCCTACTCACAAGAAGCTTACATTCTAATGGAGACAAGAAATACATATCAAAAAATATATTATATGTGTGTATGTACATAAATAAATGTACACATGTGTAAAATATTATAATACTATAGCCAGGAAACAAGAATATAGAATGTTGGATCTGGAAAGGACCTTAAAGATCTTCTTTACAGAGGAAGAAACTGAGGCAAAGTAGGGTAAAGTGATTTGTTTAAGGTACATTTTGCTTCCAAGTTGGGGCTCCCATACAAGACTGTGGGAAGTTGGATGATATTTCTCTGAAATGAGAGGGAAGGCTCTGAAAAGAAACACAGTATTCTAACCTTTCCTTCACTGGAGGTCAGGACTGCTATATTAATTAGCTGCAGTCTTTCAGCTGGAAATTTCAGCTGGAGGGATTAGGGTAATAAGCAGGATGCCAAGGAGGAAAAAGATAAAGAAATTGCTCACAGCTAGGCTGATAACACAGGGACTCACACAACGTTGGCCATTTTTATTTTCTAAGTCAAAACAAAAGGCATCATGGCATAATAGAAAGAAGGCTGGTCTCGAGTCAGGAAGAACTGAGTTCAAGTACTGCTTCTGACACACTATCTGTGTGACCATGAATCAATCATGTAACCTCTCAGGGTCTCAGGCAATTCTGTAAGAGTATATATTACAGAGGAGTTGCTGCTCTGCATCAGTGGAAGGATTTTCCATACTTGGGAATTTCCTATATGGATGAAATCACTTTTCAGAGCTCATCTTCCTCTACCCCTCCCCACCCCATAAAAAATGGCCAAACTGTCATTGGAGACCAGGAATGACAACATTTAGATGACTGAATAGTCCTGAAGCCAAGATAATCATTCACTCTATTCGTTCATTCATGTACTTATTAATTTATTAAGCACCTACTATTTTGATTAGCATTGGTCCTAAGGTGCTTACTATGTAAAACTGTCCTGGTGACTAATCCTTCTATTATGTGAGCTCCATGAGGGGCTCTACCTTATCTAAAATTTGTTATGTCCCTCAGTGCCTCCCAAGAAAATGTTCTGATTTGTTGTTGTTGTTCACTTTTTTCAGTCACGTCTGACTCTTCATGACCCCATTTGGTGTTTTCTTGGCAAAGATACTGGAGTGGTGTAACATTTCCTAACTCCAGCTCATTTTACAGATGAGGAAATTACAATGGGTTAAGTGACTTACCCCAGGGTCACACAACTAGCAAGTGTCTGAACCCAGATTTGAACTCAGGTCTTCCTGATTCCAGGCCCCACATTCTATCGACTGTGTCACTTTGCTGCCCTCATCTCAGTATACCCTACCCTTGGCTTTGCTGTCTCAGCTTACAATCCTAAAAGGTAAACTCTGAAAGAAATGGGAAGGCTAGAACATTCAGTGAACCAAGACAGGCTATCTGCGGACAGCGAACAGAGCGCTCACTGTTTCTGCAATCAGAAGGCCTGGGCTGCAATACTGGATTTCTTGTTTATTAGTTGTGAGACCTTGGGCAAGTTATTTAAACCCTCTGGCCTCAGTATCTCTACGTGTAAAATGAGGGAGTTAGACTACATGAACTCTGTGGTCCCCACTAGCTCTAAATCTATGACCCTGTGATTCTAAGATTCTTCATTCTTACACTGGAATGGTCCTGGAGAAATTACCAGATATTTGCAAGCATGCACAAGTGTGTGTGTGTGTGTGTGTGTGTGTGTGTGTGTGTGTGTGCACATGTGTATACATATCTATCTATGTGTGTACCTGGGTGTATCAGCTGCTTTATGACAAATCTTTTTTGATGCTCCAGGTACAATGCCTTCCCTTCTCACATCACTGTCCATCTAATATATATTAATCTTGTATGGTCCTAGTTACTTACACATTGTTTTCTTCAATAGAATGTGAGCTACTTGAGCAAGGAATAGTTTACCTGTCAGATTTAAGGAGAAGGGAAGAATTTATGACCAAACATGAGACAGAGAGCACTATGAGATGTAAAATGGATAATTTTGATCATATTAAATTTAAAAAGTTCTGCACAAACAAAATCAGAGCAGCCAAGGTCAGAAGGAAAACAGAAAGCTGGGAAACAATTCTTACAGCAACCATCTCTGATAAAGGCCTCTTTTCTCAAATATATAGAGAATTGAGTTATATTTATAAAAATACAAGTTATTCTCCAATTGATAAATGGTCAAATGATATGAATATGCAGTTTTCAGGTGAAGAAATCAAAGCTATTTATAGTCATATGAAAAATGCTCCAACTCACTATTGATTAGAGAAATGTAAATTAAAACAACTCTGAGGTATCACATCAAAACTATCAGTGTAGGAGAGAAGAGGTATTAGGCTGCCTACCAAACTGAAGGTCTACAGAGCTGTTATGCTGACCTCATTGTTGTATGCCTGTGAGACTTGGAGAGTATACCAGTGCCATGCCAGGAAATTGAATCGCTTCCATTTGAATTGTCTTAGGAAGATTCTGAAGGTCACCTGGCAATATAAGCTACTGGACACTGAGATCTTTTTTTGAGCTAAACTGCAGAGCATTCAAACTCTACTGCAGAGAATGGAGCTCTGATGGGCTGGCCACGTTGTTTGAATGCCAAATGTACATTTGCCTAAAAAATACCTTATGGAGAACTCATTCAAGGCAAGTACTCACATGGTGATCAGAAGAAGCTATACAAGGTCACTCTCAAGGTCTCTCAGAAGAACTTTGGGATTGATTCCATGTCATGGGAGACACTGGCAAGAAAAAATGCTATCCACATCCAGAGCAAGAACTGATAAGAGTCTGAATGCAGATTGCAGCACACTCTTTTTTATTTTACTTTTTTTAATGTTTTTTTTCTTTTGGTCTGTTTCTTCTTTCACAACAACTAATATGGAAATATGTTTTACATGATTGCACATATATAACCTGTATTAAATTGCTTAGAAAAGGGAAGGGGTCAGGGAAGGAGGGAGAAAATTTGGAATTCAAAATTTAAAAAAAATGAATGTTAAAAATTGTCTTTATGTATATATGTATATGTGTATGTGTGTATGTGTGTATGTGTGTATGTATGTGTATTAATAAATAAAAATGTGAGTTCCTTGAGGTCAAGAACTGTCCTTGTCCTTCTGTGTATCCCCAAAACTTAGCAGAGTGCCTTGCACACGGTAAACAATACATGCTTGTTGATTACCAAAGTGGAATTCTTTCAACTAGAGGCTTCTCTGTCCCATCGTGTTGATGATTTGAAGTAAGGACTCATAAGCCAATATACAATTCTGATATCAATTATATGGAAGAAAAGATGGGGTATTGTGGGCCTGTCAACTAATTCCAACTGGATTCCAGTTCTGAATCTGCAATTTGCTATCTAGCAAAGTTCATTTCAGTTCTGTGCATCTTATTTTTCCTCCTGTACAAGATGAAAACTGAGACTAAACTGTATCTTTTCTTTCTTTTTTTTTTTTTTTGTGTGAGGCAATTGGGGTTAAGTGACTTGCCCAAAGTCACATAGGACATACTATGTGTGTGAAGCCTGATTTGAATGCAGGTACTCCTGACTCCAGGGCTGGTGCTCTATCTACTTCACCACGTATCTGCCCCCAGAGACTAAACTGTATCTAAGGTCCCTCATGAAGCTATTCTGAGGAGTTCGAAGAAATTTGTAAATGTTATCCAGCTTACCCTTATCTATTTTCCCTGTTTTACACAGTGGAGACAAACAGTTTAATAAAATCAATACTAACAAAAAAGAATCATAGCATCTAAGCACTCACTGGTCAACCAGATGAGCCTATTATCAGTTATCAGCCTTCCAACCTTCTTTCAACATGTTTGCTATGCAGAACTGAGCCACGGGGCAGGCTACTTCCAGATAAGAGACTTCGTGAAACATTTTTTGTACTATTTTACCCAGTCCAGAATTAAAATCCTAGGATTCCTCATCATGTTATCAGTTCAACAAGAACTGTGCTAGCAGAGTGTAAACTCTGGCTGGTCCTACTGCACTAGATTATGTACCTGTCCTCTGAGAACCCCCAACCTAAGTGTGAAAAGGCTTACCTCAAGGATGTGCCAACCCCCTATCCCCAGTTGAGGATCTTTTTTTGCCATGAAAACTTGCAGGCCTATCTACTAAGGTATAGGAAGATGGTGATCTGCATAAGGAAGGGAGTGAAATGAAATCATGACTCTGTCAATGTACGGAAGAATATTAAAACATGAAGGGATCCTGGAGATCGTCTAGTTTACCTCTCTCATTTTAGAGGGAGGAAAATGAGGCTCAGAGAGATTATGTGACTTTGTCAAGATCACTATTTAGCAGTAGAGCTGAGACTAGACACCAAAACTCTGACCCACCTTGCTCCAAATTGTCTCACACAGATGAGGAAACCTAAAGATGAAGTGACTTGCCCAAAGTCACATCATTAGTTAGTGGCAGAACTGAGAATATGAACAATAATGATGGTTTTAAGACTAATAAAGTGCTTTCTCCAAAATAACCCTATGAAGTAGGTAGTACAAGTACTTTCATTTTACAGATGAGGAAACTGAAGTACAGGGACACCATATGGTGGGTCGAAGGTCATACATATAGTCATTTAGTGCCAGAGCCAGGCATAGAATTTACGTCACTGAGACTCCATTCAACTTTCTGCGATTTGACTGAGGCTCCCAAACGTCAAAATCAAAAATTAAGGCTGGGTGTCCCAAGTCCCTAGTCTAGGGTCTCATTAGTTGTTAATACTAACTAATGACTTCTGCTTCGTTCTTAAATACATTTGTTCCTTGTGTGCATTCATAAGCAGATCTAAGAGTAGATGGGGGTAATGGGTATGACTTTTCAGAGGTCACAAAGAAAACCACTTCAGGATTGTCCAAGACTGGATTAAACTAGAAAGGAGCTTGGTTCTGAGACTTGCCCATAGACAGTCCTTTTTTTTAAATACCACCCCCCCAGCCTTTTCCACTCTCTATAGTTAAAAGTAAAGCAGTCTTCAGAGTAATGCTCATCCACAGGCAAAGTGGAATGTGGAAGAAGTTTGTAATTCATTCCCAATACAGCTACAAGACGGACATGAAGAGTATAACCTGTGATTAAATAAAAAGGACCTGATCTCCAAGGCAAAGACAAAGACATGGATCATCCTGGATGAAGCCTCATATTCAGAGCCAGATAGGTAGAAGAGGCGCCCCGGTGTCATGGAGCATGAAACATGAAGTCAGAAGACCTGGGTTTGAAATCCCAGCTCTCCATGAGCTAGATCCTTCTTTTTCTTAGAACTTTAGTTTCTTCATCTGTATAATGGGGATAATAGCTATTCACCATTAGATTGATATGAAGAAAGCCCCCTATAAAATTTAAATTGATACAGAAACATCTTATTACTATTAAAACATCATAAGGTCTAAGATGTTTGGTATTAGGATAATACTAAGAACTTAAGCCTTGATGCTGACAGAGGTTTTTATCTGGTGAGTGGGAGGACATTTGAACAAAGGTGATAGATGAGAAATAGGGATTGGTAGGTGGGAGTGAGGGGAGGAAAGAGGGAAAGGAATGAGCATTTATTAAATGCCTACTATATACCAGGCACTGTGCTAAATTGCAAATATTATTTCATTTGAAAAAGAAAAACTATACAAGAGAAATGGCACAAGCCAGAAACAGGCTAAAAGCAGCTGATGGGGAAAGACCTGGTCCGAGGCTTTCTATAATTTACAGCTTCATCATGGTGACTCTAGCTTATATTAGAACCATAGAGATAAATAAGACTTACTGGACATCTGTGTGTGTGTGTGTGTGTGTGTGTGTGTGTGTGTGTGTGTCTGTACGTGGGTATGTATGTGTTTCAGCGTTGAAGAGCTCCTCCAGAGAAGTCCACAAGAATGTCAAACAATCAGGGGCTGGTCAAGATGACCCACTGGTGCCCAGTGGGCAAGTGCTATGAGATCATAACCAGGATGGTAGGAGAACCCGCTCCATAAAGCCTGAACTCGGCATATACAACACTTTGGCAGGGTATGCCAATGATGTGGTAATGATGATAAACAAAAGAGATTAGATAGCCTCTCAATGCTTGTTTGAATGGTGGCTGGAGACTAGTCATGGGAGAGTTATGCTTTCAGGGAAGGGAAGAAAGAGGAGTGTGCCTAGTGTACCTTGGTGAAGAGAAAGTCCTTATTTCTGGGGACTGGGGTGGGGAACGGAGCTCTGCTGTGCACTGCAGTTTAGTCATTGTGCTATGCTCTACAAACCTGCTCTCCATAGATTCTAGCCAGGGCCGTGTGAGCCAATAAACTAGATAAATTCAAGTTTTCTTTTATTGCCAGGAAAGCACCATGTGGAGTAAGGCCACAGACTGATTACTACTTGACTGAGCCAGGGGGTTGGCTACACCAAGAACTGCACCACAGAGCCCATCAGCTGTTCTGATGGCCAGAGATTGTGAGCACGGGCGTCTCATTGTTTGGGATACTCTAGAGATGGGACTCAATTCTTTTAAACCTCTGGGCAGGTCATAGCAGCAAAGGAGTGAACTGTACTAGCCTGAACCCTCACACCTATGGTAAGAAGCATCTCATACACACAATGGTGTGTATGGGACTCAATGGATTTAGGATGCAGAGAAGGAAATAGTGGTTATTATGACCCCATTTCAATTTCAATATCCTATTCTAAACCCAAGATTATGATGATGACAGCCAGCATTTATGTAGGAATTTAAGATTCGTCAATGTTATCTAGCTCATTTGACATTCACAGTAGTGCTTATGGGGCAGACACTCTTATTATCATCATTTACCAGATGAAGAAATGTGGTGAGGAAGGTGAAGGCTTGCCCAGGGTGACACAGCTAGGATTTGAGTTCAAGGTAGGATTTGAATTCAAGTCTTCCTCATTCCAAGTCCAGCACTCTATTCATGGCACCACTTAGATGGCCTATTCTTTTTGATTCCCCTCTTACATTCAGAATTTTCAAGTATGCTGAGTTGCCATTTTTTGGGAGTTGGTTAGGACATACCATGCTAAGGAGGGCACAAGAGACCTTTCTTGAGATGGTTAGGTGGTAAATGAGAATCCACCACAAATGCTCAGGTTAGGTAGCTGCTAGAGGTCTCAATTTACAGAAAGTAAGACCCAGAGATGTCCAAGGGATTGTCCAAGGTCATGCAAGCAGTAAGTTATCAGATCTCCTATTCAAACCAGGCCCTTTCCATACAAATCAAATGTCCTTTTGGCTGCATCATGCCCTCTTTTTTCTTCAGCACTCTGATATTTAGATATTTTGGTTAGGAGTTCCTAACTAGCAGAAAGATCCAAAGGCCTGAGCCTACAGAAAGTGCAGTGCTCAACTGGGAAAGGCCACAAGCCTGTATGCCTCAGAGGATGGTGCTGGACACAGCCTGACTCTTGGTGGAAGGGTACTCCCCCCATCTGAGCCCAAGAATGAATGTGGCTAATGCCATTACCTATCAAAATACACAACTGGATGCCTAGTTCTTGTCTGGATCCTAGAGAGCCGGGGCACAAGCAGAAGCCCAAGTAAGGAGGTTGCTTGTTAAGTGGACATCTGTTAAGCTGACAAAGGCTTGACTGGTAACTTCTAAGGCAGGGGGAAAAAACACTTCCTGCATGGTGTCAAGGCTCATATATCTTAAGAGAAAAAGGGGAGTTCCTTTAGAAAAGCAGGCTGTTTTTCCTGAAGAGGAATACCAGTCCTTTACTGGAGTCCTGATTTCCAAATGGAGATGCTAACAGAGGCACACCTTGCCACTGCAACTGAAAGTCTGCATGGTGCAGAGGAGATTGAATTTGGGGTCAGAGATGCTCTTCCACTAAAACTAGCTGTATGACTTGGGGCAAGGCACTTAACTTTGAGACTCAGTTTCTCCCCTGTAAAATCCGGTGATTATCTATCTCATAGGTTTGTTACGAAGAAAGCTCTCATTAAACTGGGGAATGCTATGGAAATGTAAGCTATTACAGAGTGATATATAAGAATCATCCCTTCCCTGTAAGAAGCTCTTAAGCCCCTGAAGACCCGACCTCAAAAGCCTGCACAACGTTCTGCTCCTCAGACAGGACCATAAGAAAGGGTAACACTATTATCTCTCTACAGGCAGGCACCTGCCTCAGCCTTAAGGACAACCAGAATCACTGGGGATATGAGAGTTCACAGCCCAGGTCTCCCAACTCTCAGGCTGGACTATCCCCCACTCACCAGATGGTTCTGCCTTCCTCTTGCCCTTCCCCTAGCCCTCACTGCATGCTCCTTCCTCCTCTGCTTTTGCTTCTCAGCCCTGGTCGATTCTTACCACGGGCTCCTGGGAAGGGGCTGGCTGTGGGGCTGCAGCCAGCTGCGTCTGTGCCTGGGCTTGGGAGGGAGCCTGTTGCTTCGGCTGTCCGGCTGCGACGGCTGTCTTCTGCTGCAGCACAGCCTGCTGAGCCTTCAGCAGCTGCTGCTGCTGCTGCTGCTGCTGTTGTTGGTAGAAGTTCTGCATCAGCTGCTGCTGAGGGGCTCCTTGGGGCGGCCCAGGCAACTGAGCAATTGCTGGTTGTTGGGCTCCCTGGTGCATCACCTGGAACTGGGGAACCAGCAAGACAAGGCGGTGAGCAAAAGCTTGACCCTAGGGCTGTGTCCCCAAAGGAGACATGCCTTAAGTTACACCTAATCCTAGTTTAGAGGGGCTGACGTCCTGGGAAAAATACCTACTTGCAGCTCATCAGAGACAGAATAGGTAGGGAACTTTCTCAATCATCTAATCCCTCTCTGTCATTTGACAGAAAAAGACACAGTATCAGACAACTAAAAAACTTCCCTTGGTTCCGTATTGCCACTCAGATCAAATACAAACTCGTTGGCTCTCCATAACCTGGCTCTAGCCTACCTTTCTAGCCTTATTTCACATTATTCCCCTTCACATATCTCATGCACCAACCAAAATGGTGCCACCTTCTCCAGAAAGCCTTCCTCAATCTCCCCAGCTGTTAAGTGTTCTCCCCGTCCTCAAATTTCTTCCACACTGTATTTTTTCCCCACATGTTCATGCCGTCTCCTTACAACAGGATTTAAGTGCTGGCCTCTCCAGGGCCCACTTAACTCCAGTGTGTGGTGGGCAATTAATAAATGTTCATCGAATTGAAGGGAATTGTCCACTGGGAATAATAAATTGAACCAGGCTTCAAACTTCTGATTCCAAACCCAGTATTTTTTCCAGTGTACCAGGGGGTCAGACTCAAGGCCATGGCTTGCACTGGTAGCCCCAATGACATATTATTAAATATTAAATTATTATTAAAAATAACACAGACCCTTTATTAATGTGCTACTCTGGTGCTTCTCTGGAGCACAGAAACAATCCTGGGTTCTTGGGGCCTATGGCAACAGAGCACAAGCTCTGACAGGTCTTACTAAGACAGAAAGAATCTGAGGATGGCCCTATTATGAACTGCACATCTATCATCTGAGGACTGGTGGTGCCAAGCTGAAAGAGCCTCACCACCTAAAAGCTGGTCAACAAGTGATGAATTATGCACCTACATCAATGAAGACTGTCTACCAAGGCCTGCAGCGGTTGCCCAGAGAGACAAAATGGTAGCTTCTTCAAATACTGGAATAACTAACAACAACAACAACAATGGCAATTTATACCTGGAAAGCACTGAGTGCTATTCAAAAGACTTTAGCTGCCCATTTCATTTTATCCTCATTTCAACTGCACAAAAAGGCCCGACTGTCATTTGACAAGTCAAGGAACTGAATCACTGAAGTTCAGTGACTTGTCTGCTTAGTATCACAGAGCTAAATAAGGGCATAGCCAGGATTAGGATTCCTATGACTGAATTCACACTGGGAGGCTCTTTTTATGACACTGTGGGAGGTATCCGAGAATGGGTATTACTCTTCCTATGGATCTCCATCCTGATCCTAAGGGAAACTATGCACGTCACCACCCTCAGCACTGTGTAGCAGCCTAATCTCAGTCCTCCAAAGTGATTCTCCTTTACTATCAAGCCATCTCACAAAGATCTCTTTTTACCCTCCCACACATTGGCCCATTCCATAAACATTTCAACCTTCATTATACTGAACGAAGTCAAGGATCATCTAGGCAACTAAGTGTCGCATTGGATAGAAAGTTGGATCTGGATTCAGGAAGATCTGAGTTCAAATGTAGCCTTGGACACCTGCTAGCTAGCTATGTGGCCCTGAGCAAGTGACTTAACTTCTGTCTGCCTCAGTTTCCTCATCTGTAAAATGAGAACAATAATAGCACCTAACCTCCAGAGGTATGTGGGGATAAAATGAGATAACATTTATAAAGTACTTTGCAAAACTTAAAGCATCATATAAATGCTAGCTGTTGTTATTATCATCTCCACAAATGAGATGAGACTTAGAATAGGTTAATGAAACTAAAACATAAAACCAAATCAAACTCAGGGCCCAGGAACCAGTCAACCAGCTGAAGAGCCCATATCTGGGGGGATGGGGAGGGGTGGGGAATCAGGGTATAGAGATGAGGGGACAAGAAAGGGATAAAAGAAGATGACGTTTTTATGACTGAATAATAACTACTCCCTTTAACAATTTTAAGTGCTTTCCTCAGAACAAGTGAGTGCAAGTATTATTATATCAACTTCACAATTAAGGAACCTGGGTTAAGAGATGTTATGTGATTCATCAAAGGTCCTCAGCTAATAAGAGAAGAAGCCAGGATTCAAAGTCAAGTTTCCTAAATCAAAGGTTAAAAAAAAGTAAAGTAGTGGTAGAAATGAAATATGGAGGCAGACGACTATGGTTGGTAGACAGTGGACTATGCAATAAAATGGGCCTTGAGACAAGGTCAGGAAGGACCAATCTCTGGTGGGACCAACAGGCTTCTCATACAATGGGGGAAGGTAATCTGTTTTTAAAGGAAGCCTTCCCAACAGTAACTCATCTTAGGGGGAGATTTAGAAATTGCTTATTGATTAGATTAAAGTTTCTCTTTCTGCATCACCAGGAAACCACCTACTCAAAATGGGAAGCTTAGAAAATAATCTTTAAGTCTGGGATTTGTCACCGGTTATGAAAATAAAAAGTAAACTAAGATGAACAAAAAAGACTCATTGCTAGAGCATCATGAGGATTACTAGGTGTAACAACAGGCTCATAAAGTAGATGGTACAAGTATTATTAGCTCCAATTTACAATGGGGAGGAATTGAGATGCAGAAAGGTTATATGACTTTTCCTGTCTACACAGCTAGACAATGTCTAAGCTAGAGCCTGAATCCAAGTTCCAATTCCAAAGCCAGTGCTTTTTTCACCAAGTCAGGCCGCCTCCCTTACAGATCCAAGGGAACCCTAAGGAGCCCTAAGCCCACTGTGATCTCTACCACTTCTGATTTCATTAATCTATCTCATAGGTCACCTGGAGATGTGCTTTACAATGTTACTTAATCTTTCAAGTATTGATGCCTTGTCTCCCTGAAGGGAAATCCTGTGTCATATGTACATTGTTGTTTCCCCTATGGCACTGAGCACAGTAGCCAGGACTCAAGATATGCTTCTCACCCTAGGACCTCCTTTCATCATGTCACACTTTCTCAGTGGGGATATAACAAAGACAAATAAAAGGGTGGACATCCTCACAAAGTCCAGAAACAGGAGGGCTGATGAGTCAGAATGAGTCAGTGACTCTTCTGCACTTTCCAAGGGAAAGGGGGTCTTGATCAGCTGACACAAAGATCTACTCTGCTTATACTGGAGAAGCATTATTTACCAAGCTAATCTATCTTGATGACAGCATCCTCTAGGACCATCTAAATCCTTTTACGTTGACCTATACTCATTATAAACATTCTGATTTTAATTTCATCAACCCAGAATCTCTTCTTGGGAAGAGAATAGGTTGACAAGTCAATGTGCATATTTCAGTGAATTTGGCAATGACATAATTCAATACTCTAATCACTCTTGGTTTCACTAATACAGACTCACTCTTTTTCTTTGACTTAGTGGATAGTCTTCAAAAACTCTTGCAGTCAAAAACTTCATCATCCTGTAGACAACTTTAGCATGAAGCTCTCTGAACTGAGCTAAGCAGGGCCGCAGGTGACAGCTATACAGTCCATCCCTTGGTCCATACTTGGTAGGGCCTGTTAGAGCTTATACTCCCCTGGCATGGCCCAGGCAGAACCCAAGGTAACCTCCCAAGCCATCATGAATCATTAAAGAACTTTAGCAGATGGGCAAAGAGCTATGTCATTGTAAATTTTAAAACTGGAAGTCTTATGGATAAATCCTTTTCTAACGAATGGCATAGTTAGAAATAATTAATTTCGAAGTACTGTGTGAAAATGGAGATTCAGGCCTAGGGTTGGGGAGAGGCCTGGGGTGACACCAACAAGATAGTAATCCTAGTGCCTTTCCTCTGTTACTTCTTATTTATCCTATAGATGGTTTGCTTTGTATATATTTGTTTGCATGTTGTCTCTCCCGTTAGACTGTAAGTTCCTTGAGGGCAGTGACTATCTTTGGATTCTTTTTGTATCCCTAGCACTCAGGACAGTGGTAGCACATAGTAGGTGCTTAATTAATGTTTATTGGTTGATGGGAAACTTAACTTGAAACAATGGGTAAGCCTTAAACACACATTACACCCCAGTAATCTACCAAAATCAGTTGCTTCTGACCTAAGCGGAGAGATAGAGGCGTTGTGAAAGACGACCCCATCTTTCAAGGAATAGCTCAAGCCCCACTTCCTCCACGAAGTCTATGCTGGTAACCCCTACCTACAATAAATTTTCCCTAGTATGTTCCACATAATTTACCAAAATGTTGTTATTAACTCTGGTGCAAGCCACCATTTTCTCTTGCTTGGGTTACTGTGATACCCTTCCAATTATTTTCTCCCTGTCATATGATTCTCCTGTGTCTAAGCCATCCTTCATGTTTCTACAAGATGAATCTTCCCAATGGACAGGTGTCTTTACATCCTTCCACCACTTAAAAACCCTTATTGGCACTCTACTGCCTACAGACTGAAGTGCCTACTTGTTGCCATGGTTTTCAAGGTGTTCCATAATCTGCTGCCATCCATCTCAGGTGCTGTTTCTCTAACAGAATGTCAGAGCTGGAAGGGATCTTGTGGTTCAGAAGTTCTCAAACTTTTTGGTCTCTAGACACTTTTACACTCTTGAGAACTCCCGCCCTCAAAGAGCTTTTGTTTATGTGGATTCTATCTATTGATATTGACCATATTAGAAATTAAAATGTCTTAGTATTATCATGAAAATAGTTTGGATCTCAATAGTTGATCTCAAAGACTGCCTGAAAGGGTCTCAGGGACTCCCAGGGGACCCTGGACCACATTTTGAGAACTAGTATTGTAGATCAGTTGGTCCTTGGAGTCTAGAGGACTTAATACCACTAGATAAAGATCATAAGTGCTACAAATTAGAAAGCTGAGATTCAAAGAGAACATTCCTGTCTGTAAAATGCAGGATTTGGATTAGATGCTCTTTATCTAACTATGCTCTACCAAAGCAAACTTCTCATCATTCATTCTATGTCTATTCCTACCTCTGCTGATGTTATTTCCCCATACCTGGAATATCACACCTCTACAAATGCCATCACTTCTATAAATAGACTTCCCTGATTCCACAAGTCAGAAATGAGTGTTTCCAGTGAGTTCCCATGGCACTCTGTCTATGATGTTTTATTTTGGAGCATGGTATGTACCTTATATCCCTTGCTATGTGATAAGCTCCTTGAGGGCAGTCTTGCCTTATAATCTGTGTAATTTCCCTAGTACCTAGCACAGGGCTCTGAACACAGTAGCTGCTTACTAAACTTTGATAGATGATGAATGTTGCTTGGTAATTGTTTCATATGTGTATGTCTCTTACTACTCTACTCCATCATACTCTGTTGTTGTTCAGCTGTTTCAATTGTGTCCAATTTTTGAGGACCCTATTTGGGATTTTCTTGGTAAAGATACCAGAGTGGTTTGCCATTTCCTTCTCTAACTCATTTTACAGATGAGGCAGCTGAGGCAAACAGGGTTAAGTGACTTGCCCAGAATCACACAGGTAGTGTGTGAGGCCAGATGAACTCAGGAAGATGAGTCTTGCTGACTCTAGGCTTGGTGTTCTATCCACTGTGCCACCTGGCTGCCCTACTTCATCTTACATACAGTTGCCAAATAATTTTCCTTAAGTACAGATCTGACCAAGTGACTCCTCTACTCAATCATCCCCAGGGGCTATTTCCTCAGGAAAAAACACCTCTGTTTCACTTTAAAAGCCCTACACAGCCTGACTCCAACGTATTTTTCCAACCACATTGGACATTGGAACTCCCTTTCCTGCACTTTGTGATCCCCCCAAACTGGCCTTCTCACTGTCCCTCACATGATACTCCATCTCCTATCTTCCTGCCATTGTATTAGCCATCCCTCATGCCCAATCACCCTCTCCTTCAACTTTGCCTAGTTTCCTTTAAGACAAAAGCTTATCTTCTATAAGAAAGTTTTCCTTATCCCTCTAGACTACTAGTGCCTTCCTTCCCTAACTACTTTGTATATATTTGTATTTATTCACCATGTAAAGATGTTGCATACACTTATATACATACTCCTCATATATATAAAAAAGCATATACTTAAATACAGCAGTATATTTTTATGTATACACACACACACATTCCTCTATTAAAATGTAAGCTCCTTGCAAGTAGGGATTATTTCATTCTTTGTACTTATATCCAGCACTTAGATCTGTGCATAACAGATTCTTAATAAATGCTGGGGGATTGATTGAAGATATGTCTTCTCCAGCCAATGCAACTGCAAAGCCCTTGAGAGGAAGGAGAGTTGTATATTTCTGTACTTCTTACAGTGCCTAACATAAAAATACTAGGTAGAAGGCAATTCAGTAGAGCTGTCTGGACAGCCTGAAATCAAGGGACAGGTTTATGTATATTCTTTATGAAGTTTAATTTTTAACATGACATGATCAAGAAGATAGAGTTAATCCCAAAGGGAACATTCAGAGGCTAGTGATGAGGTGAGTGGAGTGTAGCTGTCCATGTTAGACATCTGACCTTTTCTTCTTGTGTTAAGGTTCTACCAACTGCCAGAATCAAGCCTAAAGCAACATTTCCAAGGGATACCTGAACTCCTGGTTCCTACACCAAACCTGGTGCCGTGCTGGAGAACGGGCCAGGTATTTGGCCTGTCTCACCAAAGTACAATCTCTTTGTGTACTTAAGAAGATACCTGAAACTGGTGGTTCTAAGAAGTCTGTAAGATGACAAAACAGACACCCACTGCCAAGTGGTCCACGTGGCAGCTGCTCCTCTTACCTGTTGGGCTGGTGCCAGCTGCTGCTGCTGCTGCGGCTGCTGCTGCTGGTAAAACGTGGCCTGTTGCTGTTGCTGTTGCTGCTGCTGCTGCTTGAGGAATAGATGCTGCTGGTGCTGGGGTGTGGCCTGGGCTTGAGCAGGCAGAACCTGGGCCTGAGTGGAAGGTGTCTGCTGTGGAGTGGGTGGAGCCTGTGGCTGCTTGGCTGGAGCCTGCGGGAGTGGCTGACTCGGGGGAGGCTGGGTTTTTGGTTGAGGGACATTGGTGGGGAGGCCAGCTGGAACACTTGGTCCTGAAACTAGAAAAAAAAATCCAAAATTAGGGTATAAATCCTCCTCTGGACAAAATGACTATCTTGTGTATAAAATATCAGAACAAGTGATGACAAGTTCCGGTCATATCGTGACAGGTTGGGTATGGGCCTAGGACCCTGCCTCCTGTTGCATGCACAAGGCATTCTGAATAATATTAATAACAACAACTACAACAATTGAGATTTATAGGGAATTTAAGGTACTCTAAGCTGTACAATAATAATAAAAGCTGAAATTTATAAAGCATTTTAAGGTTTGCAAATGCTTTTTACACATTATCTCATTTGAACCTCAGAACAATCTTGTGAAGTATTGCCTCCAAACTGCAGATGAAGAGACTGAGGTTCAAAGAATCTCAGTGACTTGCCCACAGTGACATAACTAGTAAGCGTCAGATATGGAATTTGAACCCAGGTCTCTCCTGACTCCAATATTTAAAAAAAAGACAATAAATAAACTGTATATACTAACTGGCTTAGGACTGCATGTTCAGAGTGGTTTTCTAAGTCAATATTTAGCCAAAGAGATCCTTATGTGTAATTTAGTAGTCCCCAATTCTATTTGAGTTTGACACCACTGCTATATTGGATATATGGATAATGGTCTAGGTATTGGGTATACTAAGCACTACAATGGCTATCCTTCCAAAAATAGAGTGGTCTCAGCACGCACTATGGGGACACAGCTTTTGATAACAACCAGGAACAAAAGCAACATAGATCTGTTTATCAGGGACTACAGTATGTGCCCAGAACTTGGGACAACTTGAATACATGGCTACAGGAACAGGAGATGATCCTAGGAAGCCACAGTCCATGCCTTGTCACCTTTCAGTAGGTCCTAATGACCCATATAGCATAAAGGACATAATGGAACTCTATGCTATGTGAGGAAAATGACAAATGCTGGAGAAACTGGGGGTAAACAGGCACATTAATGAGCTGTTGGTAGAGCTGTGAATTAGTTTATTCTTTCTGAAAAACAATTTGGAATTATGTCCAAAAAGTTATCAAATTATGCATACCTTTTGAACCAGCAATATTGCTGCTATGTCTATATTTTAAAGAGATCAAAGAAAGAAGAAAAGGACTCCTATGTATAAGCTTTTATAACAGCTTATTTCGTGATAGTAAAGAACTGGAAACTGAGAGGATACTCATCAATTGAGAAATGGCCTAAAAAGTTGTGTAGTATATGAATGCAAATAGAATACTACTGTGCTGTGAGAAAGGATGAAGGAGATAGTTTGGAAAAACCTGGAAAGACTTGTATGAAATAGTGCAAAATGGAGTGAGCAGAACTAGGAAAACAATTTTTAGAGTAACAATATTGTAAAGACAAACAACTTTGAGAGACTTAGGAAATCTGATCAATATAATGAACAACCCTAATTCTAAAAGGCTAATGCTGAAATATGCTCCCATGTGAAGATAGAAAGAGGACAGACTCAGAGCGCAGATTGAGGTATATTGCTTTTTTTGGATATGGCTAATGTTTTGCATGATTATACATGTGTATATGTAATAGGTTTTGGTTTTCTTTCTTTCTAAATGGGTGTTAGTGGTGAAGGGAGAACTAGAATGGAGAGAATTTGGATCAGAAAATAAAACAAAACAATTTTTAAAAATAGTAGGCTACCATGTGACAGTAACCTCACCCTCCCTCACCTGTTGCTCCTTAAAAGAGTGGTCCTTTCACAGGTCAGATTCCAGATACCATCACCACTCACAGGACATTCTCTGGGATCCAGGTTGGAGGTGAGAGGAACAGGGAAACGGTAACGGATGCTTAAAAAGGAGCTCCTCATTACCAGTGCATGCAAATTCCTGGTACATTTCCAGGTTCAGTTGCCCTGACCATAGCCCACAAAAATCAACAGGGCACATACAGGATATAACATGGCTCATGGCGAGAGTCTAAAATACTTTTGACCACAAATTCCAGAAGTAGTAACATAACAAAAAGAAAACATCTCGTTTTTGACTGGGGCAGAAAGAAGATAAAAGAAGAAGGAAGTGACTAGGAATTTGTAAATCTTCAGCAGGATCATCAAGCAAAGAGATCATTACTGATCACAACTACTGTTTATACTGGGTCACTAGCAGTGTTTTGATATTATGTAATCACTTTCACGTAGGGCAATCTGTACCAGGAGAACTGCAATGAAAGTCACACGCAGGACTACAGAGTGAGAGAAAAGAGTTAAGCAGTGAAGAAAAGGTGAAGAAGCCAAGAGTTTTTGTTTACTTTGCTTTGTTTTGTTTGTCATTTTTTATCTTCAGTAGAAGAAAGCAAGAAGCAAGAAGTATTTATCAGTTTTGATTTCTTCAGCATGATTATTTCACATGTAGTTACTAGTCATGGTAACAGTTTATATTAAGTTATGTATAAAATGTTATTAATTTTTTTTTTACTTTCATCTGGATGAATAATTGTCAGATAACACAAGATAGGGTGAGAAAGCATAATGTTCCAAGAGAACAATTTACATGCTGATCATAGTACAGGAAAGGAAAACAACTCTGATTAATCAGCAGACTGATTGTTATTACTGTGTTAAATTTAATGTTCACTTAAAAAGCCAAAACTACATAACAGAAATTCAATCCTGTTTTTTGTTCGTGTTTGGTTAATCATAAAAAAAAAAAAGAAATTCAAAAATAGGATAAAGAAACAGGGCTTGGGCTTCCATGGTGCAAAAAACAGGAGTGACAAGCAGTCTGTTTGCTACGACTGTTAGCAGGGGGCAAATTGTAGAAATCCACAAAGAAATGGAAATTTGGGGCTTTGAAGGTATGGAAAACAACTGGGGAGAACTGTCCCCACTGACATGAAGGTATTGCACCACATGTGCAGTTTTTCCCACAGGAAATCTACAACTAGGTGAGTACTAAATGTAAGTTGGTTTCCTTGTTAGAAGATGAAAAGATTTGGAGAACATCTCTTTATGCTGCAACTTACCAAAAAAATAGGAGAAATGATTTAAGACAAAAACTCAGAAGAGAGACTCTGAGGAAGATGATGGAAATTTAAACAACTTTCAGGAAGCTGAAAGACACAGAAAATGTGGCAGAGCAGATGCTGAACAGTGGAAGAGACCAAATTTAGTTCAAACCACACCTAGCTAAGAATCCGCACAGCAACTTTCCCAACAAGTGCTTAGTGAAACTGCCTACTCTTCTTCCTGACACTTATTAGCTGTGTGACTCTGGGCAAGTCACTTCATCCTGTTTGCCTCAGTTTCCTCATCTGTAAAATGACCTGGGAGAATGCCTTTACCAGTATAACTGTCCTCTGCTGACTATGCTATTAATTTCCTTCCAAAATGTTGTGTAGAGAACTAAAAAGAATTCTCCTTATTCAGGGGTGGAAGTGGGGAACCTTTGACGAGGCCACATGTGGCCCTACTGTAGGTTCTCCACCCCTGCCTTATGTGGTCTCAGGAAGGCAGAGTACTGTTTAGGGATACAAATACTTATCATATATAACCTGATGTTGAAACTCATCATCCTGCAAGATCACATCAACTCTGAAACTCATACTTCCTTAGCACCTCTTAGTACTCAGTGCCCCTCTTTCCCTGTGATTGGAGAAGGTAGAGGGAAGACATCAGAAGCCTCCTTCCAGATCCTGCATTAAAGGAGAGCACCCAGGACTGCCACATCTTTCATTTTCCCACCTTGCTGTAGGACTTCATCATGACCCTGCTGAGTATCCTCCCTTTTGCCTGCTTTCAGCTTATCTTTATGTTTTGTTTTCCCCAGTTAGATTGTGAGCTCTTTGAGGGCAGGGACTGTCTTTTGCCTTTCTTTGTATCCCTAGCACTTCATACAGTGCCTGGCACATAATTGGCATTAATAAATGTTTATTGACTCACTGATGTGGTCAATTAGGTGGTATGCTATCCTTCTGGAGTATATGCCTGATGACTAGCATTCATTTCTAGTGATTCTTTGGGGAATAAATGACACATTCAAAATGAAGCTGCAAATAATCTGGCTCTTAGAGAGGCTCTCTGTCTCTGAGACATACATTCAAGGAAGAAAATATATATTCCTCAAGATCAGTTCATTTGAAACTGAAAATGGAGAGGGAAGGAAAAGAATGCCCAGATACAGCTGCTAAACCAAATACCTTGAAATTGAAGGTATGATATAGAAAAAAATAATTGAGATGTCTATTAATTTATAAGAGAAAATAAATGGAAAGAGGGCCAGAAATAATATCTATGGGCTCAGGTCAATATAGCTAGGTCCCAGCTAATGTAAATGAGTCCTGCGAAGTGGTTGAATTAGCACTATTCGAAGTTATAGTTATGTAAAATGTAGTTAGTTCCAGGCCAATGAAAATATGCAGTATGAATTTAAATAATGTGATTTCACAGGATTCATACTAATTATGACTTTGCTGTATGCTGATAAAAACAGTAGAGATGATAAAATCAAATTAAGATCTTTTTAATTTAAGGAGTAATGTAAGTAGATCTTACATCAAGATGCCTTATTCCAACATGACTGGAATATGGTGATAGAAATGTGTACTTTGCTCGAAAGAGACAGAGTAGCTAGAAAGGATAGATGAGTATTTGGTTGAAGAAAAAAGGAATGATAAAAAGAAGTGATTTTGTGGATGGAGTGTGTTACAGACTGCTTGGCCAGATGGAGGAAATTAATAATGAACTTTAGGTACAGATCACAAAACTGACATGGAGGCTGGGTATTTGTGAATTTAACTATGAAGACATCTGCAAGGGTGTGCTGTCTGCTAAAAAGAGCCACTGAAAATTCTCACCTTGCCTTGCTGATTCCTCTTAGAGAATACAGAGGAAGTAATAGGTGAAATTTTTCATCTGGTCCTAATTTAGACCAATAAATCAGGAAATGGATGGTGAAATGGCTGGCCCTTTCATAGTTTTCCAGTGTTGTTCTATATTACTCTGTTCTGTATACCCAAAAGTACCACCATACTGGCCTACTAACTGTTCCTCACACATGTCAGTCCATCTCCTAACTCCTTATCCTTGTATTGGATTTCCCCCAAGCCTGGAATGGGCTCCCTAATTTCCATCTCTTAGAAACCCTGTTTTCTTTTAAGACTTAGCTCAAATGGCTCTTACTGCTTGAAGTCTTTTCCATTTCCCACAACAGCTAATGTCTTCCTCTCCAAAGTTAGCCTGTATCTGATTTTTGTGTGTTTTACATAAGCAGATGGCCATTTATCAAGGCATTTAAGTCACTGCACAATCTGGCCTTAACCTACCTCTCCTTTAAGAACTATTCTCCTTCAGGGACTCTCAAATTCCAACCAAACCAGATTATTAATTTTCATTTCATTCTGTCTGTTCTTACCTCCATGCATATGGGCCAGCTGTCTCCTAGACTTGGACTGCAATCTTTCTACATCAGGGGTTCTTTAGTTGGGGTTCATGAACACTTTTTTTCCCTTAATGTTTGGATAACTGCATTTCAATATAATTAGATTCCTTCGTGATCTTAATATTTTGTGTTACTCACTTAAAAACATTCTGAAAAGCAATCCGTGACACAAAGAGGGTTAAGAATTTCTGCTCTCCACTTGCCTGTGCTCCTCACCACCACCCCCATTCCAGGTGCCGCCTCTTCTAGTCACTCCTCATGGCTTCTCCCAGCCGAACGTGATCTCTCCTTTGTCTCTGTCGCACTGAAGGTTGTATCTTCCTCACTTGTGTACTTGTCCTCCCTCCCACACTATCTATCCCCATAGACAGTAGGATCCTTAAGGGTAGAGACTTTGTCATTTTTCATCTTTCCATCCCTAGCATTGAACACACGGCCCTGAAAAGATTAGGAACTTAATAAATAATGAGGAGAAAGGCAAGAACTCTTTAGGTATCAAAAAGATGCCCCAGTCTTTTTTGCCTGCAATATTGCTTCTGTTCTAGCATTTTTCCTGTTGTTGAATTGTTCTAGTCATGTCCAACTTTTCATGATTCCATTTGGAGTTTTTTTGGCAAAGACATTGGAGTGGTTTGTCATTTCCTTCTCCAGTTCCTTTTACAGATGAGGAAACTGAGACAAACAGGGTTAAGTGACTTGCTCAGGTTCACACAGCCAGCACTACATACTTTCAAATCTTCCATCTCTTTGCACTTGGCCACCTTCTGTTTCTGGAATGCTGTCCCACCTCACCTCCAATTTTTGAGAATCTTTGGCTTCCTTCAAGACTCAGTGCATTAGATAGATCACTGGACCTGGAGTCAGGAAGACTTGAGTTCAAATCCAGCCTCAGACACTTACTATCCATGTGGCCCTGGGCAAATTTCTTAACCTGTCTGCCTCAGTTTTCTCCTCTGTAAATGGAAGTAATAATAGCACCTACCACCCAGAGTTGCTGCAAAGAACAAATGAGATTATATTTGCAAAGCAATTTGCGAACCTTAAAGTGTGATATGAAAGCTAGCTATTAATTAGCCTGACCCCCATACCTGCTAGTACCTTCTTCTTTAAAGTTACTGTGTATCTTGTCTATATAGATACATGTTGTGCCCCCCATTTGAATGTAAACTCCCTGAGGGCAGGAACTGTTTTTTGCTGCTTCTTAGTTTCCTTGGTGCTTAACACAATGCCTGGAACACAGCAGGTTTTTAATAAATGCTTCTTAATTTATTTTAAACAGCATTCATAGAAGCACAGGTCTTAAGAGTGAGGAAACTGGACCCCAGAGAAGTGCCCAAGGTTACCCAAGGAGTAAGTGTAAGCCCAGAGAGCAGAGAGAATGAAAGATAAGCTGTGAGATCAGAGCCAGTCTAGCACTGCCTCTCTGAAGTTGGGCGCAAGGCCATCCTCTTCATCTCTAAAAAAGGTGCCCAGTTGTCCTGTAGCTCAGTCAATATGATGCTACCAGGCCTCATTCTTAAAGCCATGCTAACCAGTCCCCATGCCCCCTTCCAGGCGAGGCTGGAATCATCCGGCAAAAGCTTCCAGGCCCATGATGGCGACGAGGTAAATTAGGCTACTTCAGCTGACCAATTTCTTTACCTGTAGGTTGAGCTGGGGGTTGGACAGTGGGCCTCTTTCGAGGTGTCAAGGCTGGCTGGATAGGGAGAATTCCTGGGTTTGGTTGGGTCTGTCCAGCCTTCGGCCTTTGGCGAGGTGCAATTGACGTCTCTGTTGTGGGAATAGGGTCCGTCAGCCTATGAAAGTTAAAAAATCAAGTTAGAAGTGAAAATGAAAGATGCATACTTGGGAAAGGCTATTGATGTGAGATTTTTACTGTGATCAAAAGGTCAGAGCAGCTATTGCCAACAACCCTAATGCAAGACATCAGACTCTCTTCCCCTCTGAGGATGCTGACAGTCCTCAACTAATAAATGTTGACCAGGTTGGTATTTCTAAACTGGCCCTTAAAATACAAAGATGACTATGTTCACATAAATTAGAGCAAGCAGACCCTCTATGTGGGAAAGCAATGCAGCTCTGGTATATCCAGTTACTGGGCAGATTCTCCTAAGCGTCTCTGTGTTCTGTGTGTCCCTGGGCACGGTCTTATGCAGTTCTCATGCAACCCAATGGAGGTTTTAAGGCATAGCTTCCTTGGCAAGGCCAGGGACAAAAGCATCCCTGACAGCACCTTCTGAGTGCTTTTTCATCTTCTCAGGTGTGACTAAGAGGTCTCAGAACCTCTGACAAAATTAGACCATCTCAACTCCTGTCAAAACTTTCTGAATCAAAGAGATTATTCAGGCCAGCTGCCTAAAATGGCCACAGACATAAAGATAAAGAACGCCAATCGAATTACATCTAGCTGTCAGGCCGGCAAGCAGTGGGAATAAGACTTCTCTTCGGAGAGAAACAGGTATCTCCATCAGCAGGTGAAGCTGACACCAGCGAGTGAGTTGGAGAAATAAAATAAAAGATTATCCAGGAAAAGGGCTTTGAGCCATTTCTGTGCATTCTTGCTCCTTTTGGACAAGGCAACACTCATGACTCCCATTTAACTTGGTACAAGCTACATGGCTTTGCTCCCAGAGGGCAGATGAGATCTTGTCAAAGATGCTTAATGCATGGGCTGTGCTACAAGTCTGCCCTTTGGGTAGACACACAGGAGAGATGAAGGCTGAATGAACTGACTTAATAGCAATAGCTGGGCATGGACTGAACTACTATTATGAATGTCTCCAATCTGCTTTTTTCTTCAATGTTTAGGTCTAAGTGCCCCCTTCCTACATGATGTCTTTACTGCCTTCCTTATTTGCTAGGGCCACCTCCTGCCAAATTGCTTTGTGCTTGCTTTGGCAATATGTTTTATTTACTTACATAGTTACTTATGTGGTTACATGTTTCCCTCAGTAGAAGATAAGCTTCCTGAGGGCAGAGACTCCTGTCTTTGAATTCCCAGCGCCTAGCACACAGAAGAGGTTTGCAAAAAGCTTACTGAGGGATTGACATAGCTAAACCAAAAGTCCATACTCACCCTAGCCTGGCCCATTTCTGAATACATGGGACCCCAGGGAGCTCTATATCCCACTGTTTGTAAGTGGTATGGACAGCCAGTCCCCAAAACACCGCAATGTGAAGAAGAATTGCCAGCATTTAGATAGTGCTATAATGCTTGCAAAAATGCTTCCTGTATAGTTTTTAATAATCTTGTGAAGTAAATAGTACAAGTATTCTCCTCATTTACACATGGGGAAACTGAGGGCTCAAAAATGCTAAAGTAATTTGCCTATGCTCACACAACTGGTAAGGGTTGAAAGTAGGGTTTAGAATGAAGTCTCTCTCTTTTGGCTTTCTAAGTCCAATGTTCTACATTGTGCTGCCTCTGAAGAAACTTTGAGAAGGAAGATTGGAAAGGAAAAACGGAAAGGAAATGGGGTGGCATAAAGCTGAATGCAGAGTAAGGAGAGAACACTGGAGGGTAAAGGGAATAAGGGAGGAGACTCATCATTCACATTAAGACTGAAGAAGAAGACACACGTGACTGGACAAAGGGCCAGAAGCACACTGAGGCATTTGGAGACACCATCTGGCAACCCTCCTCTTTATGTGCCCACAACTAGTTCTGGGGCCCCATTAATATAAGGTTCTCACATATGGCTCTGAGTGGGACTGAGAAAAAAGCAAGCTCAGGCAAGCAACTGGAACTCCGTGACTCTCTAAGAACTTTATATCAGGCCTTAATAAGGAGAGATGAAGATAGTCCTCTTTGCTATTCTTCTCTGTTGTGTTGTGTACCTATCATAGAATGGAAGCTCAATGAGGCAAGGAAATGGGTCTAATCTGTAAGACTATTTATGTGCACTTCTTCTATAGGGTACAAGTACAAAGAAGTAGGGTTGATTTTCTCTTGGTGGCTTAAACCAGCTTTGAAGCATAGTAACTCATATTTCTATAGGGTTTCAAGGTTTACAAAATACTTTGCCCATACAACTTTGTTAGGCAGGTAGTATGGGTATGATTATTCCCCATTTACCATTTAGATAAACTGAGGAAAGGATCCAAACTCTGGCAGCTAGGAGGTATGGAGTCTGGAATTCCCAAGCATAGGAAAAATTCAAATTATCTTAACACTGTTAGATATATAGTTGGAAGAGAGTCTCAAAATTAGAATCTCCTACTTCCTTGTTTCATAGATGAGAAAGAGAGAGAGATGAAGCTTTTGCCCACAGTCAAACAACTAGGAGATGAGAAAGCCATGATACAAATCCAAGTTTTCCGACTCCATATCTGCTATGCTCTCCTGCTAGTAAACTCTTGAAAGCAATGGTTAAAGCATAGTCATGTTCAGAAATGTCTGTTCCATCAACAGCCTCACTGGATTAAGTGGATGCATCCTAGTGGGATTGCTTCCCAGGGATAACACTTTAGATGGAGATGTTCTGGTAGCTATATCAGAAAAAACACTTTTACTTTATGGTCACCTCAAGAGAACAAATGTGGAAGAGTGGACAGAGAGCTGGCCTTGGGAGTCAGAAAAGACCCATGTTGAAGACATACCTCTGATGCATACTAGATGTGTGACCATAGACATGTCATTTACTGCCCCAGATAACTCTCTAAGTATCATATACTCATTGGCAATGAAAAGAGAGTTTACACACTGGGAGTATCCTCACCCTGATGAAAAATCATAGATCAGGACCTTCCCACCCCTAAAAATATGATCACTTCAAAGAGTTTCTTGCAGATTGCAAGTGCCCCCTTGGTTCTGGGGCAGATTCTCAACCTGCCCACTCCCATGAGGCCATGAAGTATGTTTAACCAGGTAGTTCTTACCTGGCCTTTGGCTGGGTTTTTTTAGCAGCTGCCTCACTGGCTTTCACTGGTTCTGGAAGCTTAGTAGGGATGGGAGAGTTCTGTGGATTAAAACAAAACAAAAAAAGAACAAAATAACCTCCAAGCCATCAGGAATAGTTAAGAGCAGAAAGATGCCACGCACCTTGGGCAACACAGATAGCAGAACAAAATGACAAGTATTCTGACTAGTGGATGATAGGAAATACATGAACTCATGCCCTTCTTCTGATCTCAGTCTGATTGGGGTGAGAATGCTCATTCCTCCCATTAACTCAGGATACAACCTGTGGCAGCATAGGAGGTGACAGCAGCCTGTGTAAGAGTGCATGATACAAACGATGCTGATTAACCTGACTGGCTCAGTCAGACTTAGCTGCTGTCAGTCAAAGTACCAATGGAGTAACGGTTTGTGATCCATAAAGTCCACTCCACTTCACCAAGAGGCACACTCTCCCCTCTGCTAGGAAGAACTCAGCCAACCTAAAACTATACCTGTTAAGACTTTTGGTACAATAGCCCCGTGCGGGATGCATTCTCTTATCGTCCCCATTATACAGATGGACACATTGAAGAGTTAAGAAAGATTAAGTGATTTGTCCATGGTCACACAAACAGTAAGCACTGTGATCTGGAGCTGACCTCGGGTCTTTTGATACCAAGTCCAACAAACTTTATACAGTATGTCATGGGATTGTGCTGTCTCTCATGGACTTTGAGAGCTGAAAGGCACTTCAGTTGCTAACTAGTCGAATCCCCACATTTTTCAGAGACAAAATCTAATTTGAATACTAAATGATTATTGAGTCTATCTTTGAATGGGAAAATTAATTGATGAATGGGAGAATGGGTTGATTGCTCAAATGGATCTAGGACTTCACTAACGTAAATTCTTTCCTCAACAGATGCAGATTGAAACCCATTCATGACTGCCCATACTGTGTAATTCTTGTCCATGTCCTTAGGTTTGTCACAGGGATCCACCCAACATGCTGGGAGCCTTCCTTCATTACATCTGACATTGAAAGGATACCAATGGAGCACATGGACTGTCCCTCATTATATCACTCATTCTAATAATGGAATCAGGCCATCTTTTTCATCATATTTTTCTGATGATATCCTTTACTCTGGTTCCTTTTCATAATTTCTTATTTGTTATGTGATAACGTCAACTCTCACTTACTATGAACCTCTCCAATGCCCTTTATGTGATACTAATTTTGAATTCTTTGGAAATCATAGTGTTCCATGACTTGCAGACATACAACATCACCAGTAGGATATTGGTATTAAAAAGATGACTACTCCTGGAAGAAGTATGAGGCCATTAAAGAAGCTTTGTACTTTTAAGAAGGCAATCTAGCCTGCTGCCCTACTCTTGTTTAATTCTAGGCCCAAATCATTGTCCATTTGTACTATCTGTTGAGAAAGGATAGGGAAGGTGGGAAGGAAGAAAGAGGGGAGGAAGAAGAGGAATAGGGAAGGAGAAGGGAAAGAAGAGGAGGAGTGAAGAGATGGGAGAAGGAGGGAGAAAGACTCTTTTTGGTGTCTGTTCAACTACAAATGATAATTTAGATAACAGGCCTTCTTCATGCCCTAGGTTTCTACAGTGTGGATGGTTGGACCAAACTCTTTTAAGTGATTATGGATTTCTTCCAGGGAGCTCTGTAGTGTTCCAGACTCAGTTCAACCAGCTGAAAGTCACCCACCTTACCATCATCCATAAGGAGTCTCTCTTCAACTTGGAGTTTGTGTTAGGTCTCCTTTATGACAATAGCAACACCTTGCCTGATCTTAATGATCAGCAGGTCATTGAACAAGATTATCTCGCTATTTATGTATGCAAAGGAATAACCTTTGTGAAAAAGCCTTTAAAGTGGCATTTAGCTCTACTGAACCAAATGCTTTTTATGATCAACAAACAATAAAGCACAATAAAATATTCTCTGTGTCTCTCAGTCAACTGTGTGATGATAAAGATGTGGTTGATTGTGGGAATATTATGTTGAAAAACCTACTTACATTCCCTACTAACAACTACATCAAAGATGTCCTTGATGTGCTTAAGTAAGCTATTCTCATAAAAATTTTATATAGCTGGGAAAATAGGTATAAAGGTCTAGGTCAGTGGTAATTGTGGTCAGCTTTTTTCATTATAATAAGGTTTCCATGCCTTTGGAGTCTCCCCCTTCTTCAGATGTACCTTGTGAATTGATTTCTCAATGTCTTCAACACTGTGTTACCTATAGCACGAATCTCTTCCATTTATGCTTGATCTAACTCAAATTTTTTTCTCATCATTGCCCTCTTCAATGTCATTTCTCCCTCATCCATCAATACATCAGAACTGTGATGTTAAGAGTCCAAGTGTGCTGGCTCATAGCTTGATGGTGAAAAAGTTTGTCATAAAAATATTTTCCATTTTTTTCTATTGCCCTTCCACCTTCATTCTTAAATATCTTCAGGATGACTTTGCCTAGTTGAGTCTCTGACCAAGCTTTCTTTAGATTATTTTTACTCTCCATTCTCCCTCCATTGTTTTATGAGGAAATATTTCTTATGATTTACCATCAGTTTTCCTTTAAGATTTTGCAAATGATTTTATATTCCAAACCAGTGTTGGCCTAGAATGCTATCTCTCTCTACTTGGCAAGTAAGTTAAGTGTTCGATGATTAATGTGCTTTTCATGATCTTGCAGTCTCTTTGTTATGGCAATTAATTTACACTGCTTAAACTTCTGCATGTAATTCTTGTAGACTATGTCCTGTATTCTAGCCATAGGCCATTTTTCATCATCAATAAATTGTTTTTAAATGGGTCAGGATGGAGTTGGTTTTCCTCATCTTTTCTGTCTTTTCATATCTTTTTTTTTATCATTTTTATTCTTTCCACCAGCTTTGTGCCAATTTTGATCTTTTTTTTTTCATTACAGTTAGCGGTGGTCTGACTACACAGAAAGCTGATTTCGGAATGATAACAGGCTAATAACAAACTGTGGACAAATAAAGTTCTTTTTATAGGTACTCCTTATTTTAGCTGCCTACATTTGAAATACAGAATAATTCAGGCACTAAGAGACACAAGGGCTGATTTGTTTTAAACAGAATGAAAGAATTTTCAAGGACTACAGAGGTCAATCAAACCAACACCTTTATTTTACAGCTAAGGAAACAGTTCTAGTGTGACTTTGCTGAAGGGCAGAGAAGGATTTGAACATAAGGGATCTCACTGAAAATCTAGTACTTTTGCTATTTTCTCAGTGCTGGAGTCCAATCTGTGATGGCACTGCTTGGTAACATTCAAAAGATATAGATCAATTTAAAAACCCAGATCGAAAAAGGAAAGAAACTAACCTCTGGAAGCTAGGAGGTATGGAGCTTGGAATTCTCAAGCACAGGAGAAATTTATAAATTACAGCATCATAGGAAGTAGAAGGAGAAAGGGTCCTCTGTTCCAATCTATGAGGATTCTAACCTCAGTGTTATAAAGTTTAGAAAACTGAGGCCAGAGAAGTCAAGTGACTTGCCACAGGTCACACAGATAATCAATGGCAAAGCCAAGATGTGAACCCAGGTCCTCCGACTCCAACTCCAATGTTCTTTCTTCCATACCACACTCCTAGTTTCTATAGTTCAGGCAGATTTGGGTGACAAAGGAAAATCAGCAGGTCCATTACCAAGGGAAATGAGACCAGTAAGTGGAATCAACAACTCTTAGGATGTACAGGGCTTCTGGTATATTACAAAAGATACCCCTCCATGACATTGCCCTCCCTGCCCACCCTGTATTTGCCCCAAATTGTCAACTCAATTTACTGATGAGATTGATTACTTAATAATTTAATTATTTACAGGACTATTCATAGATTGATAATTATTAGCAAATTAATAAATTTAAGTCAATGCGATAGAAACAGAATCTACGGTGAACTGTACTAGAAGAGTTCTATTCTCTGGAACAAGTGTTAGGGAAAGGACTGAACTTGTGGTTTCCTTGGTGTAGGGAGCACCCCAGTGAGGAAACTCCCTCTATTTAGTTTGGCAACTTAATGGATGCCTGGGGTGTTGATAGGTTAAGTGACTTACCTAGTGCCATACAGCTGGTATATGTCAGAGACAGGACTTGAACCTAGGGCACCCTGATTACAAGGCCAACTATTGGTCAATGATAGCACATTGCATAAATATAGGTATAGCCATGTCTATATACTTTTGCAAGTTTGATTTATGGCTTATTTCCTCATAATAACCCAGTGATGTAGGTAGTGCCATTTTATAAATGGGAAAACCAAGGCTCAAGTTAAGGGACTTGTCTATATTACAAGCTTATAGCTAGTAAATAACAGAGGGGGTGGGACAGTGGACAGATTGCCAGGTCTGAAGTCAGGAAAATTCATCTTCCTGAGTTCAAATCTAGTCTCAGATACTAATTAGCTGTGTGACTCTGGGCAAGTCATTTAACCCTGTTTGTCCCATCTGCAAAATAAGTTGGAGAAAGAAATAGTTAACTATTCCAATATCTTAACCAAGAAAACCACCAATGAGGTCATGGAGTATTAGACACAACTGAAAAAAAAATGACTTAACAGCAAAAGCAAATAACAGAGATGAGATCTGGACCCAGTCAGAAGGTTTAAATCCAGTGTTCTGGATCACTTCACTAAGTGACAACATGAGTATGTGCCACTCTAGATCCTTCTCTCCTAGAGACACAATTTCACATACCTGAACGTTCTGAATGGGGCACTCTCTCTTGGCGAGCTTAAATGAGAAGTACGAGATCTGATAAATGTCTGGCCTCTTGTCAGGGTCTGGCTCCAACATATACCCTAAAAAAATGGTATTGTGACAGTTATTACATGTGGCAAAAACGTTATATTCAGGTTATTTTCTCTTGTGTTTCTCATAACGTGGTAGGCAAATTCATCCTCCCATAAAGTAATCAATGGATATGTGAAATACAGGAAAAGCCAGTATCAGGGTTGACAGTATCCAAATGGTAAGTTGGTGTTACAATTTCACCGACTTAACCTCCATGAAGGTTGCAAAACTATGCAAGTTCTTAATTGAATATATATATAATACCTGTTCACGTCCTAAGTAGGGGAAAAAAACAAAACCCAAAACAGTAAATTCATTCATTAGGATTCTGTTTTCAAGCCTCATTATTTTTCTTTCTCAAATATGATGGTTTATATTTACTAGTGACCATTAGTTAATGGTAATATATTTAAATTTTATCAAAGATATCAGAATTTTACATAATTTGCCTTTCAAAGCAGGGATCTAGATTAAGCAAACATTTTCATTTGCTGGTACCTAGGTTGCATGTTTTCACTTAGACTAACAAATGGTTACTCTTTACGCAGAATCATAACTAGAACTCTGATTCACAAAGTTGTTAATTGTTATTCCCTGCTATAGCTATTAAAGTTTTCATCTTTAACCAAGACATACTCAATTTTATTTTTCTAATGATCTATATAGAGTTCATCTGTCTTTAGCTTATCTCTTTTGATTTTTCTTGACAAATCTAGAAAAGATTTTTGTGTATAAAATTAACAAAAATTACAACTGAAATTGGTCTCAGAAATCATCTAAGGGGGGGATTCTTTCTTATACCTGTGACAAGTGGTTATCCAGCCCTGACTGAAGAATGTCAATGGCCAGGAACCATTTGGTCTCAAGGCGGTGCAATCCATTTGGGGACAGTACTAATTGCTAAGAAGTTTTTCCTTATACTGAGTCTAAATATGCCTCCCTGTAATTTCCAATCATTGTTTCTCATTCTGCCATCTACAGTAATGCAGAACAAGGTTGATGCCTCTGCAAGAACTTAAAGACAGCTATCATGACCCCCTTGAAGACTCCCCTTCTCCATACTATATAATCACATCCACTAAACTAATCTCCTATCACACGGTCTATATTCCCCTAATCATCCTGGGAGCTCTCTTCTAACCATAGCTCTCTAATTGTGGTGTGACCAGAGCAAAGGATAGTGAGACTTCCCTTCCTCACCCTTTAAGCTGTATTTTTTTTTTAATGCAGCTAAAGATTTCATTAGTGGTTTTTTTGGCTGCCACACCACACTGCTGACTCACAATGAGGCTGCAGTTCATGAAAACCTCCAGGACTTTTTACATAACCTGCTTTCTAGCCATGTCTCCCACATCCTGTGCTTATGCAGTCGGATCTTTGAACCTGAGAAGTCACAGGACATTAGATGTTTCAAATCCTCCTTCCAGCTTAACAAGTTGTTTTTGGTCTCCAATTCTCTCATCCAGGATGTGAGCTACTTCTCCCAGCTTCATGCTATCCACAAATTTGACCAAAAACAGAAGTTTGTGCCAAGAGCTTATTTTCAACAGATTACAGGGAAGTAGCTAGTTTGTGGCATAACCTGACCCAGCAGGCTGCCCTTGAAGGATTTAATACTAAGTGCCATGTGAATATACAGTGCATGATAGATAGACCCATTTGGGGAGGCTTGCCATCTACTCAGAGGAATGACTCTCTGAATCATGATCTACCCATGACTTCCCAAGAATCCAGTCCTTGGACACCATTTACTGGTTTTATATCTATAAATACCTATATAGATATAGAGCTTCCCCATGCCCTAATCAGAACATCATAAAATATGATATAAAAACATATAAGGAAAAACCCTTTTTTTGTATCATGGACCCACCCCCTGGCAGTTTGGTGAACTCCATGTACCCCCATCTCAGAATACTGTTTTTAAAAGCATACAATAAAATACACTGAGTAACAGAAAAAAACAAATATATTGAAATAAGTTATAAGAAAAATTTTAAAACCAAGTTCAAAGATTCCAGCTTAAGGCTCTTTGCCATAGAACACAAGCAGAAAAATAGTAAGTTAAACACGTGCTTATGCATTGTGTATTCCAAAACTGAGGCTAAAACTAAGCATGAAGTGAAGAGCAATACAAATGTTTTCTTTGTTCCTTGACTTTGTTATAAAATGTCTCTCTCAAGTCCTCCTCTATCACTAATTCTTTTCAGCAGTAAAGGAACATCCAAAGTTAAACTGAATATAGTGATATGGTGATGCATTCTGCTCTACATGTTTAAAGGTCATTTAAATTTTTTGCATCAAATTACAAATAATTATAAGTAGTAAAGTTCTGAAGGGTAACAAAATATATTGTTTTTAAAGGTATATAGCTCCTTTCTGAAATAACTTTCCATCAGTATAACAAAAATTTTTAAATTATGTACATCTAAATTATGCATACATGTTTATAGTATGATATATGTGTGTTACAAATATATAATATACAACTATATATATAAAAATAAAAATTTAACACATTTATTTACAAGGCTGGATGAGGCTCAGAATTTCACTGATTTTTACAAATATTTACTAAACATCAATGCTTAGCATTACGCTAGGTATTAAGGGGTATATAAAAAAAATATAAGATGTAACCAGCTTACAATTTAGTCACTAAGGCGACAGACATGCATGAAGCACTTAAGTCATAATATATGACAATATGTGACTAAATGCTGAAATGAGAGTTAGATAACAAATACTACTGAATTTCAGAGAAGGGGGAGATCGATTGGCTGGAGTAGTTGGGAAAAGCTTTCTTTTTGTAAAGGTGGGACATGAGCTAGACACGCAGCAGAATGGAGGAAGGACTATAGTGTGTGTTCCAGGAAAAGGGAAGAGACCAGCCTCAGTGAGAACAGAGAGCCTGTGTCTAGGGGATAATGAGAAAAAAAGCCTAGATAGCTAAGACAGTGTCTGCTCATGAAGGCATTAGTCAGGCTAAGGGACTTTGGATTTTATTACATTTTCTGAGCAGAAAAGTGACAGGATGAAATGAGTGTTTCTAGAAGATTAGTGTGGGAGAAGACAATATGTAATGTGAATTGGAAAGGGAGAGACTGGAAGCAGGAAAACCAGTAATGATTGTAATTTTCAAGATTTACACTCTGGTTCCAACAATGGACAACTACCTAGGGACATCTGAAGCAATTCTGCCAGCCCTTGAAACCATTCCTCTCTGTAGCTAACAAATTTTACAAAAACTATACCAGCTAATATTCTCCCAGAGAACCCTTCTGAGTTTAGGGCAAGGTACTGGTTACACTCTACAACATCTCCACTCAGAAAGTAGAGGACTGTGAAATCAGACCATCCTCTGTGATCCACATCCTTCCTTTCAGATCCAGAGAATCCTGAATTAGTCTCTTTTGACCTGGGGCCCATAAGTAGTGACAAGCTGAACTGCACTTAATATATTTAGAGAAAAGAAGAATTCCGTCTGGATCATGCTAGACTCCTGTCATCAGTGAGGTCAGCTCCAATTCCTTAAACTTGGGAAGAATACAGTCAAGAGGTCAAAGTTGGAAACCAGCAGCATGTCTATGCTTTCAGGCCAAGCAAGGTCTTTCCTTAGTAAGGGATCATTAAACCAGGGTAAGAAGCTGAAGAGAAGCCATGTAGTGCAAGTGCATTATTTTACAGATTGGGAAGCTGAGGACCAGTGAAATTAAGTGACTTGCTCAAAATACCATGGGTAGTCAGTATCAGAAATAAAATTAGAACATAGGTCTTCTGAACACAGAGCCCCAGGGCTTCTTCTACTGCTCCATGCTACGTCTACCACTGTGGGACTAAGTTCAAACTCTGAATCCTTAAGTATTCCTAAGGATAGGAAGGAAGAGTTCAGGACCAGAGGAAAGCAAGTCATTAGGCCTTTAAGGTGGTGCTATGGATAGAGAACCAGGCCTCGGAGTCAGAAAGACTCATCTTCAGGAGTTCAAATCTGGCCTCAGCCACCTCCTAGCTGTGTGCCCTGGGCAAGTCACTTAATCCTGTTTGCCTCAGTTTCCTCATCTATAAAAATGAGCTGGAGAAGGAAATGGCAAACCACTCCAGTATCTTGGCCAAGAAAACTCCAAATGGGGCCACAAAGAGTCGGACATGACTGAAAAACAACCGAATAAAAACAACAGGCCTTTAAAAACTCAAGAGGGAGGATGGGAGGGAAGGTGCAACTTGATTTACCCTTAAATGTCATTTGAAAGAACTTTTTTGGTATTTTGGTTGCCTGTGTTTTGCCCATTCACATTGGTATTTATGTATACATACTTTCCTTTCATATATCCATGGCCAACAGGCTGATATTTCGATTCTGGTTTCTTCACTTAAGATTATTTTATAGACCTTTTCACATTTGCTTATATTCCTCAAATGTAGTCTTAGGGGCATAATATTCCCTTAGGTTGATATATTACAACTTGTTTAGCCATAACCCAGTCGTTGGACATCAGATGGTAGATAAGATTATTGCAATTACAAATAATGCTTCCATCAGTATCTTGGAACAGACAGCCCCTTTCCTCTGCTTTGTGACATTTAAGGTCCTTCTCAATTATCAGATTGTTGGGTCGATGGCTGTGGGTATTTTAAGAACACTTACAGAATACAAGCAGAATGCTCTCCAAAAAGATCCCAGCTATTTGTTATTTCACCAACAATATAAGAGTGTGCCTGCTTCTCCAGCAGCTCCTCATGGTTTTTAAAATTTGAATATCTTTGATCCCCAAGGAAGTTAGAATATACTTTATCAGTATACATGATTGCTGTGAACTTTGGGGGAGAGGGAAACTAGTAATAAGGTTGCTCAAAAAAAAAAAGAAAGAAAGAAAGAAAGAAAAGAAAGCCATTAGAATGACTTTTAAAATGCATGGGAGGGAAAGGAAGTTCAGTAGGTACAGATAAGCAGGACAGCTTTGAAAGTAACATATCGAATTTATTTACTTTTAAAAAGCAACCTTTATGT